CTGGTACAAACCATGGCATACATTATGCTGCCAATAGCTGAGGCATATGGAACTCTTTCCATGTATGCTTGTTCTTCCTCTGTCTTGGGCGACTGTTCCTTAGTTAGTCTGAAGTGACTAGCCAATGGGGTGTTCAATGGTTTTGCATCTTGTATGTTGAATCTGCTGAGAACCTTTTTAACATACTCTGTTTGTGACAGCTTCAGAGTACTACCCACTCTGTCTCTCCAAATCCTCATGCCAAGAATCTATTTTGCTTCACCCAAATCTTTCATCACAAAATGCACAGACAATTGTTTCTTCAAATTTTTAATCTCCTCAAGACTTGACCTAGCAACCAACATATCATCAACATACAATAGTAAGATAATGTAGCTGTTGTCAAACCTTTTAACATAACAATAATGATCTACATATCATCTCGTGAAACTATTACTGCACATAAATCCATCAAACTTCTTAAACCATTGTTTGGGGGCTTGCTTCAAACCATACAAGCTCTTTTTCAACTTACATACCAAACCCTGCTTTTCTGGTACTATGAATCCTTTGTGGTTGTCTCATATAGATATCTTCCTCCAATTCACAATGGAGAAAGGCAGTCTTCACATCTAACTGCTCTAAATGCAAATTTTCTGCAGCCACAATTCTAAGCACCAATCTGATTATAGTCAACTTCACAACAGGAGAGAAAATCTCAGTGTAATCAACACCATGCTTTTGCTAAAATCCCTTCACAACCAATCTGGCTTTGTAACGCTTGTTGCCATCATGTTCTTCCTTGATTCTGTAAACCCACTTGTTATGTAAAGCCTTTTTTCCCTTTGGTAGTTTAGTTAGATCCCATGTCTGATTTGACATAAGTAAGTCCATCTCATCCTGCATAGCTGACTCCCACTTGGTTAAATCACCAACCTGCATTGCTTCATCATAACTCTTTGGTTCACCACCATCAGACAACAACAAATAGTGTAAAGAAGGTGAGAAACGTTGCGTAGGTTTGGAGACTCTGGAGGATCGTCTCAATGCAGTAATAGGTGTGCCTTGTTCCACCTGTGGAACTATATTTTCTCGATTGTTCTGAACTCTCCCCTACACATCTTCCTCGGAGATTTCCCCCAACTCAATAAACTCATCATTTTCAGCTTGAGCACCTGCATTAGTAGAAAATGATGCTAACCTTTCCTTATACATTACTTTCTTATTGAACACGATATCCCTGCTTCTAATTATCTTCCGGTTTTGATCATCCCAAAACCGATAACCAAACTCATCAGTGCCATACCCAATAAAAGTACATTTTTTTGACTTTGGATCAAGCTTGCTTCTAGCATCAGAACTTATATGTAAATATGAAACACAGCTAAACACTTTCAGATGTGAAAGATTTACCTCTTTGTTGCTCAAGCCTCCTCCGGTAAGCCTCCATCCAAAGGAACAGAAGGTCCCCGATTGATAAAGTATACTGCAGTGTTAACTGCATCAGCTCAAAACATCTTAGGCAATCCAGCATGTATTCTCATACTCCGAGCACGCTCATTCAAGGTTCTATTCATGCGTTCTGCAACCCCATTCTGTTGCGGGGTTTTAGGAACAGTCTTCTCCATTCTGATCCCATTAACAGCATAGAACTCTTTGAAGCCTCTGTCTTCATACTCACTACCATTATCAGACCTCAAACACTTCACCTTCAAAACTGTCTCATTCTCCACCATGGCCTTCCACTTCTTGAAAGTATCATATACTTCAGATTTATTTTTTAAAAAATAAATCCATACATTTCTCGTCGAATCATCGATAAATGTAACATAATACAATGAGCCACCAAGAGATGAAACTGGAGAAGGCCCCCACACGTCTGTATGAACCAACTCTAATTTTTCTGTCTTAGGTGTCCTACCAACCTTTAAAAAACTGACACTTTTCTGTTTCCCGAAGAAACAGTCCTCACACAAACCAACTTCAACTAATTTAATACCCGACAGTTTTCCTTTCGACAAAAGTACCTTCATCCCCTTCTCACTCATATGACCTAGTCTACAATGCCACAGGTTTGAATCTACGCCAACATCAACAACAACAATGGCGTTCTTAGTGTTTGTTGTCATGTATAGAGTACCTGTCTTGCTTTCACGAGCCACGACCAAGGATCCCTTGGTGATTTTCCACAAGCCACCCACAAAATTAACTGCATGCCCATCGTCATCAAGTTGTCCCACAGAGATCAAATTTCTCTTCAGGCCAGGAACATGCCTCACATTCTAAATCTTCCATACAACCCCATTAGTTTTCCATAATATTTAAAGGCTCATCATCAGCTAAATAAACCTTTCCGAAATCACCACTAACATAGTTTTCCATGATTTCACGATGCGAGGTAGAGTGAAAGGATGCACCGGAGTCTAGAACCCAAGACTCAACCGGACTATCTACACTCAAAATCAGAGCATCAACAATCTCTTCTTTGACGGCATTTATAGATTCTTGTTTTCCTTCGCTCTTCTTCTTTGGTGCTCGACACTCTAACCTTAAATGCCCCTTCTTTCCATAGTTACAGCAAGTTCTAATTTTTGACTTGCTTCTGTGTTTGGATTTGGATTTACTGCGATCCGAATTCTAATCTTTCAGAAGTTTTTCCTCTGTCCTCGGTATTGAAAATAGATCCAGATGATTCCCCTATTTTCCTTCTGCAAATATCTTCGCTGAGGATAAAGTCCCGAACATTATCAAACTTTAATTTTCTTTTTCCTGAAGAACTACTCACTGTTGTAACAGTACCGTTCCAGCTTTCTGGTAAAGAGGATAAAAGAAGCAGCGCCTTAATCTCATCATCAAACTCAATCTTTACAGAGCTTAACTGAGTCGTAACAATGTTAAACTTGTTCAGATGGTCAGTCACTGAAGTGCCTTCTGACATTCTTAGGTTGAATAATCGCCGTATCAAATATACTTTGTTAGATGCAGTGGGTTTCTTATACATATTTGATAGGGCAGTCATCAAACCTGTTGTTGTCGTCTCCTTTGCTATGTTAAAGGCAACATTGCGCGACAGTGTCAATCAAATGACCCCTAGTGCCTGCCGATCAAGAAGAGCCTAATCATCATCCTTCATCTCTTTTGGTTTCTCTCCAGAAAGAGGCTGATACAACTTCTTCTGATACAGATAATCCTCAATCTACATCTTCCAGAACCCAAAATCTGCACCATTGAACTTGTCGATCTTGATCTTTCCTTGTTTTGTACCCATCGCTCCCACTCGAACCTAATGGCTTTGATACCAGTTGTTGCGAAATTAAACACAAAAACACAAGAAATAGATCAAACACACACACAACAAAAACACACATAGATTTTACTTGGTTCACTCAAAATTCAGGGCTACGTCTAAGGGTTGCAGGGATTTCACTATGATGATAAAAAATGGATACAAATACAGAGAGTTTAGAATAAATAAATACCCTCGCACTAGGGCAACATAACAAGTGCAGAAATAACCAAAATACCCTCCAAATAAGTTGGGTCTTAGTGTATAATATCTATCAGGCTCCACACTACCCATCAGGTACTACTTGAATGTGGCACTCTTTTCAATGTTTGAGAAATTTGAAACTAAATGATAGAGCTCTTGGTTCTAAACGGTAGATATAAAATTCTTGGGAGGGAGTAAAATATCATCACAAAAGTTCAATGCACTTTTTTTAAAGTTTAGACAAGAAATCAACTAACAGTTAACCTGACTGGCCCTATATATATATATATATATATATATATCTGGCCTATCATCAAAGTAAAGAAAATCTAAGGTTAATCTACACAGAGAGAAGAATTACCAGATCTCCGTGTCTCAGATGTCAAGTAAGTGCATTTTGCTGGTTGATATCAGAAGTCGTTTAATTCAAAGATGGAAAGTGAAAGGTGAGTGTCCCAAAAAAAAAAAAAAAATTACCAGAAGACCGACAAAAAAAGAAAGAAAGAAAGGAAACGACAACAGATGAAGACCTAGAATATGTTAATAAAACATCTTCATAAACTCAAACAATCTTCCATTATCATTGCCACTCTATCACCCATATTGCTGGACTTTAAAATATCTTAAACAATAACTCTTTTTTCCTAAAAGATAATTAAAAAATCAAAAATCATGAAATACCCATGCATATTATTAAGCTATTATTACAGTAAGTTGAAGGGGCCTCCCATACACACAAACAAATAAACAAATAAAAAGGATTAAGGGGCCTCTTTGATGATTTTCCCATATTGAGAGGTAAGAGAATCTCAAATGAAATAATAAAAGAGGCATTTCAATTCTCATGTAAGAGATCAGTTCCATATCTTTGTTTCGTGAACTAACAAATGCAGTTGCAAAATAGATTATATATATATATATATATATATATATATATATATATCATATCTTGATTAATAAACATGAGATAGTGCAGCCTTACTAAGCCTTAAACGGACCAACCAGCACAACTGTTGCAAAGATGGATTATGCTATATAGGAGACCTTAAGATGATAAAAGTATCCCCAGCCCTCACTAAAAAGAGTATTATTCATGATACTGAGGTCAGAGGTCTATGTTACCTAGCACATGCTGGAAGCCTAGGGGCCCGGGAAAGCAACTCAAATCCAATTATCTTACAGAACGCAAATGAGCCTATCTGGGATCCTATAACATGCTACAGTTAAAGTTAGTTGAATGCTTATAACTGAGGTGCACTTTGCTATGAGAACAACACAAGTAGGAGCTAGAAACAAATTTATCATACCATAAAAACACAACTTATGAGAAACAACCACAATAATTATTAGAATCATGATATTCTGTGAAATAGCATATCCAAATGGGGGAGTTCGCCGAGTAGCAATGCAGAAACAAGCCAACAAAAGGCAATAAAATTGAAATACATTTTTTTTTTTTTTTTATATATATGAAAATTCAAAATTAAACAAGATTTGACCAAAAGGCAATCAAAAGAAATCAAGTCTATACTCAATTTCCGAGCACAGTTGGGACGATCCAAATTGTAGGCGGCGTGACCCTCTGTGAAGGATCAAGAATGTAATGTGTGCCAAAGCTTCCATTCTCTACGTTGAAGATACCAATATCACGGCGCCCATACGGTGGGTAAGCTAAAAACATATAATAATCATCGGTGTAATATATGGAATTTGGCTGGCATCTAGGGAACTTTGAAGCTGAAATACAAGTAGAATGGCTATCTCCCAAAAACATTGTGTCTCCGCCCAAGTTCTTCACTTGAATCTGCTTAGCATAACCCTTCTTGTGTGGCAGTTCAAGCAGCTTGAAAACCTTGAAGCCCAAAGTTTCATGTTGTAAATCATCTCCTATTTCTTTCATAAACCGTTGCACAAAAAGCAAGTCTCCACTAGATGATTCCACGAGATATGTATGTTCTGCAAACACTTGGGTCCTTAGTGCAATTATTTTAACTTTGGGAGCTTTACGTGCCCTGTCCCTGCTATTCACATCAATCCTTATGACTCCACCCCAATAATCAACGGCAAAAATTTGGCCTTTATAATATATGACATCAAAGATTAAATCAAACCTCTCATTCTCTAGGTAAGTCCAAGCTTTGTCACCAGATTAAAAGAATGCCAAAAGGCAGTGATCATCATAGATGACGGTAACTATGTAGTCATCGGGAGACAAAGCAGGATCAACCGACAATATAGCCTTGTAAACTAGGTACTCATAAAAAGGAGGTTCGTCAGATCTATCGACTTCTTCTTCTTCTTCTTCTTTATCGTCATCGTCTTCTTCTTCAAATTTTGGGAGGTCCTTAATGGGAGGAAGCCCAACGGTAGAACCGGAGAAGGGGTTTAATAGAGTTAAACCCATGTTTTCTTCAACAGTGAAAACCAACCATACGAAGAACCACAACACCTCTTTTTGTAAGGTACCCGTAATTGAAAATCATATATTTTGTTGTGGGTGATATTGTATAGACTGCGCCTTTCTTCGCTATTATCTTTTGTAGGGACCATCAACAATGGAACTTGTATGTGGTATTTATTTTTAACATATTTAACTTTGTTCTCCATTGCCACAAATCGCCATGGTTTGCAGACTGCACCAAAGCGAACATAGTCCGATTGTGAATCTAACCTGTCCATAATCACATCCAGTAAGTTCTTAGGAAGCCATGCCCAGTCGGACTCCACCAACGAATTCATATCAAAAACCATTTATTTATTTGCACTTTAGCGCTGCAAGCTACGTCAACAAATCTACAATATGAACAAGCAAGAGAACCTAATCAATTACAAAATCTAGTGAGTTTTCAGAACAAAAAATAATATCTACCTAGTAACAAAATAACGAGAAGCCCCAATGATAACAAAACAAAACAATGCAACCCAAACCAAATCTAATTAGGCATTGTTTAGGTGAGAGAATCGTAATAGGATTAAAATTGATGAAGATTTACCTATAGTTTGTGTGATGATGGATACTGTGATGATGGATACTGACTTATTATCCCGTGTGTGTATATATATATATATATTTAGTGCTATAGACAGCATAGACTTGTAAACGGATCTGCAATTAGGAAATTCGATAGAAATATAGAACAAGTAGAGTGGCGATTAAAGATTTAAACTTTACTCAAGGATCTGCAATTAGGAAATTAGATAGAAATATAGAACTAGTAGAGTGGCGATTAAAAGATTTAAACTTTACTCGAAGAAATTTGGTGTTAAACAATCTTAAATAACAAAATTAGGGCTTCAATGGAAAAGAAGAGACGAAAAAGGACAGACAAGAAGAAAACAGAATGCTCACTGTGTTATAAAAATCAGGGCAGGTTGATGACCTCCCCTTCCTTGGTTTTATAAAAGTGCCCGAGAGTAGTACTACTCCTATTTGGATCTGGAAGTTCGTTTCCTTGTCAAGCTTGAGTTATATATATATATATATATATATATATATTGGATATTTTCATGTTCCATTTTAAAAGGAGTAATAATACTCTGTTCCACCGATTAATGAACTAAGTTCTCCTATTTCACCGGCAGTCTAGCATGATGAAGAAACCAACCCACCAGCAGACTGAACCATCAGTGAACAACCCCATCCCTAACCAACTTGAACCACCTTTCAATCCACCTCATCAACCTCATGACACATCTCACCAGCCTCCATGCTCAGCACAGAAACCATCACCTCGGAGGATCAACACACACAGGGTACTTTCTCCTAAACCTCACCCTCCAAACCTTATCACTGAAGTTTACCCTCCACCCATCCCCCCTTCTCACAATGGAACACCTCATTCCCATTTCCCTGCACCAACCACAAACCCCATAAGGTAACTCACCTCAACCTCCAATTTCATTCCCAAACCTCTTCAATCACAACATACAAAGATCCCATCAGCCAAACATGCCACATATCCAAACTCAATACCATTACCCAACAAACCCTCAAATGCTAAACTGCCCACAAAGCAGCAACCAACCAAAATCCCACGCAAAACTCATTTCATTCCAAGGAAGTCTACACCTCCCTCACAGAACACAAAACAAACGACCCATGAACCTACACCAACCTATATTTACCCACCAAGGAACTTTAACCCCTTATTATACAGCTCCCCAGACCACCAAATTGAGAGGTTGCAAGAACAGCTTGAATGGTCTGAAGAGAACTTGGGTAGATCAATGGATATGCACTATGAGAAGAACAAGATCATCTCAGAATTGAGAGCTGAAGTAGAAAAACTCCTGTCAGAGAAGTCTCACCAACATCCTTCAACCAATACCTCTCCTCCTACCATCAACACTACCACAGCTCCAGTGGGTCAACAACAAGCAATCCCTATCATCACCTCTACAAGGTCTCCCCCACCAGCACATGCTCATCTAGTGCCTGCGAACTCCACCACCACCATGCCTCCTACAGCAGCAGGGGCTCATCCACCATTGGTGGACCCAGGTTCAAACTTCAAACTCAATTTTGAATTTTAAATCTTCAAAAATGGTGAACTCACCCCTGCAGGCATCCACATTACACAGTTCCCAGAAAGGAAATAACAATACTTGCCTTCCACATAATCACATCCCATCCCCCAACACTCACTCTACAATTGTTGTCCAAGCTGACAAAGCACACTCACATGGCATGATTTACCAACAGACAAAGCACCCTCACATGGTTTACCACCAGAAGACTCAACCACTTTACCAGGTACATTAAACCACACCACACAGACATCCCCTCAAATTCCATTAATACGTAACCACCAAACACAGGCAATGACTTAGTCCAAGGTTGTCCAACAAGGCACAAACAAAATGAAGCTCGAATTCTTTGCTCCATCCACTGAACATCCAAATATTATTGAACTACCAAGAGAAGTCATTGATGAAGGTCAGCACTTCTGGTCCTCCTACCACTTGGTTGGTTTCTCCATCCACAAAAAACTTCCCTTTAAGATTGTACAGACTGCTGCAATAAAATTATGGAAATCATATGGGCTAACAGACACCATCCTTGGGGAGAATAACACCTTCATCTTCAGGTTCAGAGCCACCACAGAGGTTGATAATGTTCTATCTCATGGCCCATGGACACTTGCTGAGCACCCCTTTTCCTTAATGAAATTGAACCAACTGAACCAAACTCAACCAACTCAGTTAGGTTGTCTACCAATCTGGACCAAGCTTTACAACATTCCACCTAACTACTGGACAGCCAAAGGATTGAGCCACATTGCAAGTGTGGTAGGTGAGCCTCTATATGCAGATGAAGCCACAGAAACAAGAACAAAGCTGAAGTTTGCCAGGATTTGTATCAACCTTGACCTTAACAAACCACTACAGCATGAAGTGCAGCTCAAAATGGAAGATTTGTCCTTGGTGGATGTTAGAGTTGAGTACCAATGGTTACCCAAAATTTGTGGCAAATGCAGACTTCTCAACCACACAGAAGCCAACTGTCCACTCAATTACATTAATCCAGCTCATGGGAAGCACAAAGCAAGCAATCCATCTACCTCCTACGTCCCTCTTAAAGATCACAGTCCTGCAGTTCAACCAACCACTGAATGGGTCACAGTCAGGAAAAAGAAACACAAAATTGTTACTAAACCCTCCACCCCAGCTACTACCAAGCCATCTACTTCTAATCATTTCTCCCCACTTAATCATCAAGCCCCTGATACCAACAACACAATTACTCCAAACCACCTTACCTCACCATCAACATCACAGCAAAACCCATCCTCAAATAACACAATGGTCAGTAACTCAATCTCTAACTCAGAGTCTTACTCCACTTCACTTCCAACACCACATTCCCCCCTATGCACCAGGAAACTCAATTTCAACTCACCATCATCCAAATCATCCACCCCTCACAGGCAATCCACCTGCTCCTTACCACCACACCACTGCCAATCATTCACCCCCAACCAAAAATCTCTTACACCTACCACATTTCATGTAATACCTTTAGATTTCGAAAGGATATAATTGGAATTTAATTTTAATTTCTTGTGCATTTTTAATTGATTATGTGGCTACGTGCTTGTGTGGCTATATGTTTATTTGATTAATTGTTTATTTTAATATGTGATTTAATTGTGTGATAATTGCTTGTTAAATTGTGTGGTTTAATTATAATTAAATTGTTATGATTAAATGATATATTGTTTTATGTTTTATTTTAATTTTATTTTAAAAAGGAGTTGGAATTATATAGTAGTAGTGGACCAATTAAATAGGTCACATGGAATACTTGAATGGACTTTCATGGGTAGGGATTATGACCCATGGGTACTGGAGGTGATTATTATTATTATTCTAATTAATAATGATAAGGAGATTCAGTTATATATATATATATATATATATATATATATATATATATATATATATATATATATATTTATTTATTTATTTATTTATATATATAAATATATTATATTTATAAATGGTTATACTTATATGTAATTACGTAATATTACAGGGTAGTATTAGTATTGCTATAATAGTGTTATTTGTTCTCTTTTGGTGTATAAGCCGACTTATGGTTAAACTAAGATTAGGGTTTTAAGTTGTATGTATATATATACAATAGTATAGGTCTGTAGAGGCTAAAATAGTTTTATACGTGATATAGTCTACTTAGAAAAGAAAAAAGAACAGAGAGAAAAAGAGAGAAACCGAGAGAGGAAGCTGGGGTTTTGGCCAAGGAGTGTAGGCCAGACCAAGGAAGAAGGAAGAAGGTTTGTTCATGGTTAAAACCAAGAGGACCAGAGAGGGTTCGACGCAACCAAGGTCGCTGGAAAACAAAGGAAGAAGGAGAGAATTAAGGTTTCAATTCGAAACCTAGAGGCAAGTTTTATTCTAACTCTTTCCCTTAGACTTGTGTTCTGTGCATGTCTAGGTAGTCTCTAGGATTTAAACAGACATTTAAAATTGATCTATTAATCATGCTTGAATTGAATGGAATTAAATTGAATTAAAACTGTTGTTAGTTAATATATGTTTTCGTTTTAATTCTTGATTTTCTTTGAATGTAAACTTGTTTTGATTTATGTAATTGATGCATAAATACTTCTTATAATTTGTTAGGACTTTCTCGAACCTAGAACAGAGGGGTAGGAACCTTAATAAGGGCAATCGGAGCGTCAGACAACAGCCGGAGACGAAGAAGATGGAGGCTGGGAGGAGTGGAGGCGGCTCCCCTTTCAATGGAGGCTGCTCCATTGAAGTGGAGCCGGCTCCACATGGTGTAGAGGCGGCTCCTTTGGGAGTAGAGCCAGCTCTACCTTAAATTGGAACCGGCTCCCCTTTTGTAAATACACAGTAAGTGTATTTTTGATGGTTTTGGGATTTTGGAGGCTCCGATGTAGTTTTGAATTTGTATGGATGGTTTTAAATAATTTAATTAAGCATGTTAATACCCAAGAATGATTAATCCATGCTAGGAACTTGAATATCATGAGAATTAAATTTAAATTTGCGTGCTGTTAATGGCTTGGAAGGATTTAAATTGCTTGTCATTATGTTAGCAAATTAAATGGAGGGATATAAATTTACTATTGTAAATTACAGTATAATATACTTAGTTAAGTATTTGATTTGTATTATACTCTTCTCCGGATGTTAATTGATGAATTACTTTAGTTTATTCTATTAATTATTGTATATGGATGATTTAAATTATTTACTTTTACTCTAGCAATTTAAACGGAGGTTATATGATTATAATCATATAGTGGCTGCATAATAGAATCTTGTATATATCTGACTTCTATTATGCTTATTTTTGGATGTATTTGATGTTCATATTAATTGTTGCATCATTTATTGGATTTTGTGGATTATATGTATCGGTATGGGACGGTGGCATATTAGGGATGGATTAGATCAAAACGTTAATTCCTACCTATTCATACATATGGAATGGATTAACTAAAACAGTTAAATCCTACATGGATTCATGTCTTGTCAACTAAAACAGTTGAACGACATACTGGATGTTTGTTTTATGTTTCTGTATTAGGATAAAGTATATTTTAAATCCTAATTATATGTCATGTCTTGGCGAGGAACAGTTGACCGGCACAACATTGGTTGTTGGATGGAATTTATATATATAATTATGGTACCGCGATATGAGTTTGAGTTTTAGAGTCGATGGTTAGGGAGCGTATATGCAGTGAATGCGTAGTTGACTATGATAGGTTGAGGTATACCCTGTTAGGCTTAGGTACTCATGCCCACTCAGAGGCATTTTGCATGTTACCTTCTATTCAGGTTGAGACCCCCTTTGTAGTCCAGTGAATGTTCCTTAGTGTGGATATATATATATTTATAGTTATGGACTATATAGCTATTGCTGAGTTATCTAGGATGTATCTGCGTATCGGGTCTCTACTTAGACTGTAGTAGAGTAGAACTTGCATGTGGGCCTGACCCACCTTTATTTTTCAAGTATTCGTCAGGAGTAGGGATTGTTCATGCTGAGCAGGGATCGTCTACATCATTCTTCCGAATTGTCTACATAGGAGTTCCTTTGTGATTTCTGTATCTAGTTGTAGATTGTTGATTGTTTTTTTTTCCCAGGGGTCCACAATGTACGGATTCCCGAGTTGTACTATTTGGAGGATTATGTGTTTCAAAAGGATTTATTTATAAGAATTAATTCTGAAGATTTCGTTATTGGATTATCGATTTAGTTTTCTTTCAGCCATTTTAATTATTCATGTTTATCATATTTGTATTATTTTGTGTTCGATTATTGCCATTTGTTTTGATATCCTCGGGTATTCGAGCGTAGGCCTGCCAACCCGCATCTAGAAATCAGAGGGGTATCACATTTCCCCTGCAGAAGAAACACAAGGTAATTAAATATTCCAAAACCACTTACAAAGGAGACATCACTTCTACTCCAGCAGCAGGTGCTCCTTTGATGGATGTCAACAAGACCATCTCCAGCTCCATTCAGGCATTCTCATCATTGAGCAACCCTCAAAGCAGTAATACACCAACTCAGGAAAGGAAAATGACAGCCAGAAGCATGAAGAAAATAGCAAGGATGAAAGATATTTCTATTTCAGGGTTGATGCCAAAGGGGTTTTCAGCAAGCCCAAAGCATCTTGGAGGTCACTTCTCTCTACCCTTCTTATGATACCTCTCCTTATATGGAATATTAGAGGGTTGAATCAACCCTCAACATAATCATAGATTAAGAAATTAATCTCTGAGAAGAAACTGGTTCTAGTCTCCATAGTGGAGACAAAAGTGGCTCAGATGAATATGGCAGTTGTTCATAGGAACATAACTCCCAATTGGTCTATTACATACAACTATTCTTTCTTAGAATTAGGAAGAATTTGGATTATTTGGAACCCCCACATCATCAACCTCTCAGTCATTGATTGTAATAGACAAGCAATTCACTGTTCTATCTCAATCATTGGACAAAATGTCTCATTCTTCTCTTCATTTATCTATGC